CGAACGAACGAACGAACGAACAAACGAACGAACGAACGAACAAACGGACGAACGTCGTCAACAGCAAAGAAAAAAAAAAACTATTGTATGCCGAGTAGCTTTGCTGTTGCCTATATGCGTGTCTGTATGTGCAGTCTTCTCATCTTCAGTTCCTTTGTGTTTTCTTTTCAGGTGTTTTTTTTTTTTCTTCTGTTATATTCCCTTTGTTCTGAACTCACAAACCGCCACAGAAAAAACGGTTATTTCACTGGTTTTGAAGGCGGAGAAGTTTCAAACAAGCCTTTTTTTTCTGAAAACCGATCATCTCTCTCTATAAAATCCGTGTTGCGACATCAGCTGGTAATATACTGAATAAGATTGGAAGATTTGGTTAATGTTCTAGCGAAGCACAATGCTTTGTTTGAAGGCGGAAATTCCCAAAATCATGAGAACACCGAGGAGGACAGAGAAAACACACGGAGACAGACTACACAAACATGTAAAACGAGCACACAGATGCACTACGCAACACGACTGCCTCCCACTGTCTGCACATCTATGTATCTCGCACTACATCTTCCTTTCCCACTATTTTTTTTACTCACTGTATGTCTATCTCTCTGACAGTTAGACACTAACTAACCCTAAACCTCTTTCGTTCCTCTCCAACCCCCTCCTTGTTGTTGAACCTTCGCCTGGAACCTTCTAGTACAGTCCAACGAAGTCAAAATCACTAAAAATGCAAATGTGGTAAGTGCATCAGCTTGGTACTCTTATGCACCAATCTTTTTGGCAACATCGGTAGATCCGGCAAGCCCCAGAATTCACCGCGAAAACCGAGCAATTGTCGACTTCTGTTGAGTTTACTGAATAGAACAGGCAGTGGAATTAGCATACATATGTAAGCCAATTTTTCTAGTTTCAACCACTCGTCAACAGTTAGTTCAAACTCACCTTTCTACAGGGTTTCGTTTGAATGTTTTGATAGTTACTAAAGAAGGGAAAATTCGTGTAGCTAAATTACTTCCCGAAGCATTAGTGACACCGAATAGCAACAATCAATCCGGCATGCTGTTCCACCAGTGTGCTGGCTAAAGCGCTAAAAAGTGCAACTAAACTGTTCTGATGGGACTCCTTTGCTTCCCTGTCTTACTGGTTTTGTCCTTTTCGGTTCGAAAGTATCCAATATTCTAAAGCCACTCTGAGCAAAACTGTTGTTTCATGAGCTTTACATGCATGTGGCTATATTCTTCCATTGATGTTGCCCTTTTGAAACGAAGACAAATGACCGTTAGTAGTACGGAGGGAGTGGGGAAAAAGAAACGAAAAAAATGTGTGTGGAAAATTTTTTCCAAAAGCAAAAGTTTGCTGTTGGTTCAGAATTGATTAATATCAATCACCATTAATTAATAATTCTGTCGTAGCTCGATGCATCATCACTAACATCAATATCAAACTATTTTTATCACTTTTTACTCGTTTTTTCCCTCCCCCTCCTTTCCTCTCTTCATCTCTCCTTCGATATCCTGTTACCTAGAATCAGTTCCCTATATTCCTCCCGCACTATTAACTTTACCGCTATTTTAACAGCTTTTGTTTTCACATGACCTAAAGTCGTCTTGTCATCACAGCAAGCTTCAGTTTAGCTTAAAGCTTCGGATCAAAACAACAAAAGATATGAAAAAAAAGTGAACTAAATTAGAAAATATTATAGTGAAACAAAATGAAGTTAAATGAAAATAAAATAAAAGAAAAGAAACTAGAGGAGAGAAGAAGTAAATCTTTAATTATTACCCAATCTTAAATATTTTTTTGACATATTAGAGCCGTAACTTTAATGCAGAAAGCAGAAATAATGAGGAATTGAATAAATACTAATAATAACATTAACAGCCAACAGATGTTACGGCAAATTTCCACTAAAATATTTCGGGATAAATATAATTGAAGAAAAAACAAGAAATTCAGTTAACTTCCTTGAATTATTTGTTGTTGACGTCCGAAATATAAACAGTAACCACACTCTGACAGATAAGAACAAAAAAACTCCGCTAC